AAAAAAAAAAAAAAAAAAAAAAAAAATTAAAAATCGGTAAAAAGAAAAAGAAACAAAATAATTCATCGAAATGTAGGAATCGCGAAAGAAAATATCGTGAATTTCGTGAATATCGAAACATAATGTAAATATCCTCATCGAAATATTTCCCACGGTCTTCGAGTCTTTCTCTCTCTCTCTTTCTCATTTTCCAGAGATCAGATAGCGGAAAGCACGATTGGCGAATGATCACGATCGGTAAAAAGAAAAAGCAAAGTGGAACGGAAAAAAGGCATTCGTCGGAAACTCGTCGCGATCGTTAAAAATGAAATCGGATCTAATCTTCGCTGATCTTCGTTTCTGGCTTATTTACGATACGATCTTTACAAAAAACTAAACGTGTGATTTTTTCATCCTTTTTCCTGGTTAGTCCGAGCATCGGGATCGTCCGATTAAAAAGCACGCGCAATTCATCTCTCTTCGTTGAAATCATTTCCGCCGACTTCGGTTAGCATTCTTCGAATATTCGATAGCACGAGACACAAAGTTTGTATACCATTGGTTCGCTCGATTTCTCAATAACGAAAAAAAGGAACAAAAAAGAAAAAATAAAAAAGAAAAAAGAAAAAATGAAAAAAGAAAAAAAAGATTGAATAATTCACAAGGAATAAATTAAGTATCTCGTTGATCCGTCGTAAAAATTATAAACGGAGAAGTTTCGAGTGCGAACGGTATTATCGTCGAAGCTGTATCGTACTACGAACTCGTTCCACACAACGAGTATATCCGAAACGACGCCAGCGACAGCGCTAGCGATGCGTTCTCGAGCGAGGAAAACCTTTCTTCCGGAAAGGCGGATTACAAGTGCAATCTGATCGTTTCTCGACAAACGCTGCCAACGAATGATGCGCAACTCGGCACGAAAAGGAAGAAAAAGGAAAACCAGAAAAAGGAAACGTGATGCTCTTTAAAACGAAACAAAAGAAAGAAAGGGAAAAAAGAAAATGGAAGAAAAACCGTCGTCGCGAATTTATTGGTAAACGTTATACCGACAGAGGGTAACACACGCGCGCGCGCGCGTGTTTGGTTACGCGAGAACGAACGCGCGTGGCATCGTCCAAACGACCTAATATACCCGAAGAAAAATATCAACGACGATGTTATTAAAGCAGCAGCAATTGTCTCCTTTTGCTCGTATTTGATACGCGGCAGTGCTGCTTTAACAAGAGTCCAAGCGTCAATATTTATCTGTTGCTACTTAGCAATAAAACTTGCTACGTACGGACGAGAACCAGCAAGAGAGAAATATTGCTAATATGATTCTTCGTGTAGGACTTTGTTTCTCGTCGGTTGAACCATAGGACACGAAGCACGCACGTGCTAAGCCTAATTAGTCGTCGAGTAAGTAAGTCTCGCGGCTCGCTCTTTCGTTGCCTTCGAAATTGCCGCATCGTCTTATTATTCCCTAACGGTCTAATCGTAAATAAAAGGCGGACCGTTCGACACGCGATTTCTCCTATACACATATAGACAACGGTGATAATCTAAGCGAATCGTCTTAACATCTAGGCTTACGGTCTAAACGAAAGAGGATGGTGGGGTGATGGGTACAACGCGTGATGTTTTGACGCGCGCGAGTGTGTGTGTATATGTGAGTGTGTCTGTCAGCTACGTATATGCGCCACGCGTTTTTTCTCTCGTCCTCGAACTCGAGAAACGATGAAGGTTCACGAAATTCACGGCGATCTCGTTCCAAGTCAACAACGAGGACCGTAGAACGTGGGCTAAGAAATATGGCTCGGTTTATCGCGACGCCATCACGAAATCACACGATGCCCTCTACGACGGATACACAATCGATACAGCGGACGCGCGCGGTTCCGATTAATCGATTGGCGCTAGAGTCGTATTCTGGAACTCGCGACATCCGCGACGCACCCTCGTCGCGATAAGACGACTCGGTTACGAGTCACTCGAGCGAATAGCCGTTGATAATCAAAGACCATGCTTCGTCTTGCATATTTTCGTGGTCCCTGTAATAATATCGCGCGGGAAGGTATTCGCGAAAAATGCGACGCGAGGTTATCGAAATTCTCAAATTCATGCATCAATTTTCAAAAATTCGCTACGCGCGAACATTTCGTCAGTGGTGCTAAAAATAATCTTTCGCCTCGTTATTTCGCTTCAAACGCGAATAAAGAAAAATTATTCAAGATCAAATGACAAGCACGTAAAGGCGCTTCTAGTCAAAAAAGAAAAGAAACGAAAGAAAACGAAACGGTCGACCATTTTGTAAATTATATAAAAATAAAAAATCGACCATTTTGGAAATTACATAAAAATCAAAATAAAATACGATTAAACTCGTGAAAAGATTATTGGAAAAAAAAGAAAAATTAATGTCAATAAAATTGTCAAATCTCACGTGTCAAAAACTATCGCAAAAGATAAATGCGAAATTGTAGGATGAATTTGCTTGGTAATCGGCAGATCTAAAATTTAACCAGTTGCGTACAATGTGGCTACGGGAAATGGTTCACGCGTTTCCTCCGAGCGTAGAACTCTAGGCAAATACGGATCGCGCGAAGGGCTCGAAACAACCTCGAACCTGTTAACCACCCTTGCCCGTGAATTTGCGTTTATCATAAAGCCAGTTACGCGAACAAAGGAACCATGGGATATTTGCCAGCCACTGTTCGCTAAAGTACGCCACAAGAAACGTAGGAATGATCGAAGTATTCGAACGGTGCCATTGGTCGATGCTCCGCGTAGCTTTATCCGCACGTTTACGTTACGCGGCGTGACCGTAGTCCTATTTTCGAACAGCGTTCGCTACGGTACACGGAAATTTCGAACGCAACCCGAAATACTGTAACACCGGCTGAACAATTCGTCGAACGACAGAGCGGAGAATCGGCCAGAAATTTCTTAGTCAACGAAACGTTCGAAGGGCGAAAAAAAAAAGTAAACGATCGAAGACGCGAACGACGAGGTTGGACGAAAAAGAAAAAACTGGACTCGAGCTTCGCTCTACTCGGAAAGTATCGCGTGTCTCGGGCATCGCGTGACCGTGGTTATTAGAAAGGGAAGAAACGCGTGAATATGGAATACGAGAGTTCTGCCGACGATCAGCGTACGATTCATCGTTTCTATCGTTTAATTACTACGTTACGATTTAAACAGTCGCGTCTCTATTTGTCAGGACAGTTTACGATGGTTCGCGATGTGATTGGCGGCGAAAAGAGGCGTTGCGGTATCTTTGTCGCGAACAGTCGACGATAGCTGAGAGCGCGCCACGGACAACGACGACGACAGCGAGGAGTGGGGAAAAGCAGCGGAGGAGCAAGGGAAGTGAAAAAGGGAAGATCGGGCGAAAGGGTGGGGGGTGGAGGATGTTGGAGAAGGGGAGAGGCGATTAGAGGCGCGCGCACGCAAATGTCACGCGCGTCGTCCACGCGATTCGCAGTCGCGTATATACATGTATATCTCGATATATATATATATATATACTAAACCGTAGAGCGATCTTTCTCCGGTGCGATACAGCTCTAGGCTGTGCGGTAGTCAACGACACCGGTCTTATCGTTGGAGTCGATTCGCTTCGCGACGCGAGCCAACCACCGTTTATTAGTAGTACGTTGTCATCGATAAGCAGACCGCGTGCATTCCCGACGACGAGGTACGATCCTTTAGACCTACTCTCGTGCGTGCTTCACGAGTGCACGCACGTCACGTATACTACGTGTATACAACGTACACCGTTAGGAAGAAGAATCGTTCGACACGTAGTTTTGCTCGTTACCGTCAGTTACACTTGTTAATCGTTTCACCGAGGACTGTTAGCAACGAGAGGGCGTCATCGTCGGAATAAGTCCGAGGAGGAGCAGGGGATGGGATAGGATATAACTAGTCACGCGCGTTACACGCACCTCGTCGAAACGCGGAAACATCGAAACGGAACGAACCAAGAGATTTTCGGGTCGTTACACGCGTTATAAAAGCGACGGATTTTCTCCGTCTCGCGCGCTCGCGCACGCGTCTACGCGAGTTCGCGACGTTTGACTTTCTTCCCTCTATCGACGAACTAATCGAATTTTCGGGGACCGCGTATTTTATATCTCTTTCGCTCACACGCACCGTTATTCTCACTCTCCCTCTCTCTCATTCCCTCACGTCGCGTTCACACTACCGCTGCTGCTCTCGCGTCCTCTTTTCTTCCCCGTTCTCGAAGAAAACGTTCACGCACGCGGACGAATGCGTATATACCGCGTTCTTTTCTTCTCTCTTTCCATCCTAACGAGTCGGACCAGCAGACATCGAAAGAGAATTTCGCCCCGTGTTCTTCACTCTTCCGCCTGCAGCAACGTGCGGAAATCCTGCTGCAACTTTGACTCGTGGTAGCTCCAGATATCGCTAAAATCTTCTTCGTCCTCGTCCACCTCCTCCGCGAAGACACCAGCCACCTTCTCCTCCTCGGGCAATGGTGCGTTCGGCAAAGGCGAATAGAACTTGATCTCCAAATCCCTGTGCCCGTTCGGTGACGTGATGATCTCCGTCGAAACCTCTAACCCCTTCGGCGACTGTACGGTACCGTTTGCGTCCACGGCCGACGATCCGACGTTATTCACGGGAATACCGATAGAGTCACCGCGCCACAGCGTCCGACGTTTCCCGCTTTCGGCCTGTCCTCTGTCACCGATCACGCCGACGTCTTTGCTAGGCGCGCTGATTTCCTCGCTGAAGTAACTAGTCGGATCGCTCCAGCTGCGCCTCAGTACGACACCGGTGCCATCCTTCTCCCGATGGCTTCGCGGATTATCGCCGTTGAAAAGCCTCTCGATACTTTGCTCCTGACAATCGAGACTCGGCCGGGACAAGAATAGCGGTGGCATCTGAGCGAAGTGGCTGGGACAGAACTCGTTCGACGGTGACGGGGTCAAGAAGGGCGAGTAACAGTTCTGATCCACGTCCCATATGAGAGCAGAAGGGTCGCAGTACCGGCACTGACACGGTCCCAACTCGTCGTTCACGCCGTCCTCGCAGCCGGCTGTCGTCGTTGACGACGTCGTGGTCGTCGTCGTCGCCGACGTCGCGGGCTCGTTATACTCGTGCAGGTATCGCGGCACGTTGTTGCTACCGTGATGATGGTGATGATGGTGGTGGTGGCCGTTATGCCTGTAACCCTTTGGCGGAATGGTGCGCATTTGCGCCGGCACTACGTTCCTGTTGTCGTCCAACACTTTCACTTCCACGTGCCGATACCTTTGCCTCGCGTCGGCTATCTCTTGCACCGACATGCCCGTTGTCTGCGCTCTACAACCGTACAACGCGCTTTCCCTCGCCATCGGCGGCCTTCTATGGTTTCTCAGCTGAGGCGGCGCAGCTTCGTAGCAGCGTTGTTCGTAACACCCTGGGACCACGTACGGTTTTAGAGAATTCGACTGTTCGATGATCGCGTTCGATGACAGATTCGACTGCTGCTGCTGTTCCTCGAGTTTCGTCGCCTCTGTCGCAGACGTGACCGCGTTGTTCGGTGGCTTCCGGTCCTTCTTCCTGCGTTTCCTGGGCTTGATGATACGCGGTAGACTGTTCTCGGAATTGTTCGATCCCGAGCTCTCGTCGCTCGCGATGCTCAGCGAGTCTATGTTCGCGATGCTGTTGTTCCCTGTGCCCGTGGTCTCCTTGTTGGCAGTGCAGTCCGTCGGTTTCGAGGGCTGCTGCTGTTGCTGCTGCTGTTGCTTCTTCGCCATTTCTATCGGCCTCTGAGGCCGCGACGGCGGACACCTCACCGTGTTATTGTTCATCGTACAGTTCGATGTCACTGCGTTTGCATTATTGTGAACGTAACTATTTATCGCGCCCGTGTTATTGCAAACGGCATTAGCGATGCCGTTAACGTTCCCGGTGTTGTGTATCTTGCCACGATTGTGAAACCGATTGGCGAGGATCAACGGCGCTCCCTGCGTATGAATGGCTAATCTGGAGAGCGGATTCTTGTGTAGGTGAACCGATACTTGCTGATCGCAAGCCTGCTGTTGCTGCTGCTGCGAGAGCGACGGTGGTGACTGTTGCTGCTGTTGTTGCTGACCGAGCGACGGAGAGGATCTCTGATTGCATCTGCGTGGACTGGACGTCATGGATATCAAAGGAGCGCCTGTCCAACCGCCAGGTCCGTACTGCACCTGACACTGTTCCGTCCCATTCGGGAAATTCTGAGTTCCGTAACAGCCTCGCGTTTTCCCGCGAATCACCGGGTCTGGTTTCCTACCGACGATTGGCTTGTGCGAACCCGGTCTGACGGTCGACGATATCAAACAGCTACCGATGTAACGCTCCACCTCCACGCCGCCCTGGGAGGCCGGGCTCATCTTATAAAACCCGCGCGAACGAAATCACTTGTTCTAGCAACACCGTTATGTACTCGATCAATTATCCCCGGTAATATTCCGCACCTCACGAAATTTCAAATCGCTGGTGAATATGTCACATCGACGCGTTACTCCATTGACCTAAATCCGCCGTACAACCGTTTTCCACGAGCCAACTGAATCACCGGTTTAGCCCATTGTCATCGCGAACCTCTTCTCAACGGACAAACCACAAACTGAACTGTAACACTGATCCGAGATGTGTTAACGCGCAACTGTGTCGGCTTTGTTGTATATTCGTGGCGTGAACAACGGCCGCGTTCCTCGCAACGGAAACACAACCGAGGATTTATAGTAGCGGCGGCGGTTACGCGAATCGAGCACACACCTCCTTCGGTCGAACAACCGTACGAAACCGCGGCCGGAACGACACTGAAGCTCGCTCCACCGAGCGCGCCTACACCGTCTTTCGAATCGCTCTGCGACCTGGAGGTCCCCCCACTTTCTGCCCCAGCACCCCCTCCACTGCTGCCGCTACCACCACCACCGCTGCCACGCTCACCGCCGACAGACGTCTCCCCACTGCCGTTCCCGCCAGCTCCTTTCTTTACAGTCTACCTCTCCACACCCCGCTCCGCGAAACTTTACCATGCGCGTATACCGCTTATATACACGTAACATTGTTCCTTCCGGTGGACGAGCCTGTCACAATTTAGCAAGATATCGGAGAAAGCTGAGTAAGGAAGGTAAGTTGCGCGCCGGTTCGTGTTAGTCGCTGCGAACTTTTCGAAGGCATCGCGACCGGTGAAGACCAATTTCGTATAGTCGATGCTCGTCCATTCGTTGCGATAGATAATACGGCAACTGTACTACTGGATCATTGCGTCGTGTTTTTTCTTTTCTATTAAATTAACGAACACCGAGTGGAAAAATATGAAAAATTCAGGGAATGTAAAATATTCGGAAAACATTTCGGCTCTTAAAATATGGAAAAATATTTTTCGATAATTTAACAAGGAAAATGTTTCATTAAAAATACATAAAAGTCTCGTCGAAATTGGCAATATCGGGAAAAATTTGAGAGCGCGGAATGGACGAACCGTTTCGAAGCAATGAAAAAACAAAAAGGAAATTTAAAGATTTAATTCGAAACGATCTATCACGGTTGAATGCAGCGAAACCTAGAGAACGGAGAAAGGCGGACCATAGAGATCAACGTGGAAGCAAAATGTAAAAAGGAGGGAACGAGCATCCTGCGAGGACACGAGTTAACGTGTCTCGACTCCGTGAGTCTGGAAGACCGTCATCCGTGAAGTAGAGACGGCTCGACGACGAGACTGAGAAAGAGAGAGAGAGAGGGAGACGAGAAACAGACTAGAAGGGAATAGAAAACGAGCGAAGAGTGGATCGGTAGAAAAGCGAGGAGAGTAGGGAAGCCTGATATCTTAGATCAGGCCACGGCACCCTCGCATCTAGGCCACAAGCCTTTAAAAGTGGGTCACAAGTCATCAATCGCCTGCGGCACGCTACCTCACTCGGTTGAACCCTCGCATACGACCCACCTACTCTTCTCTGGAACGTCTCATCTGGAGCGAAGTAACGCGACGACGTTCGGTCCCTCCTTTCCTTCGCACTGCCGAGCCGTTATCGTCTGCTTCCCGCCAACCTCGTGCTTCTTCGCCAACGTCGGAAACTACGATCGCGAGATTCCACGCCAGCGAACAAGCGACGCGTCGACGAAATTAACGCGTTTCCATACAACCGCCACACCGCCTTTTTCCTTTTCCTTTTTCTCCCGTACATTTTCCACGAGTTCCTGTGCCACGAAAGAAACACCTACAGACTGTGGTATATCCGAACGCGATTCTTTCCTCCTATCGTACGATCGGACATAGAAAAATATTTATATTTCTCCATCGCTAAAAACTCTTGCGAACGTTTTTACACGGAGTTAATAACGCGAATAATTTCACGATGCGTCGCGAGATAACGCGTATTTCTATAGACGAGTAAATTGAATTACGATTATCGCGTTGACGGAACGAGAAAGTTACGACGTAACCGTTTACTTCTCGAATTCTTCGGCCGACTTCGGTCAACTTCGGTCAGCTTCGGCGCTCTTCGGTTAGCCTCGATCAACTCCGGTTAAATTCGCCTTCCGCGACTCCCGCGAGTGTATCCAAGAAATTTGCAATTCATAAGAAATCAATACGAAACTAACTATGATCTTCTAATTTCCTTTGGGAACCGAGGTAAACTTCGTTGCGGAGAATTCACTTTAGACGAGGAACGTTCGACACCGAATACGGCAACAAATTTACAGCTCATTCGTTAGTTTCGATCGATTATCGACTCGGATGAAAATCGACGCGATACGACGCAACGTGCACGATGCGTAGCAGGGACGATCGTTGGTTAGAAACCCTCTCGCGTTTACGATGTAAGGCGAATCGTGTTTCCTCGCGTTATCGCGTTCCTCGTACATTATCGCACTGCGCGATCAATCGTCGACACTACGTTAGCGATTGTCGCAGGATAATTTTTACCTAACCCGATACCTACAGTGAGCCACAATCAAAATCGTACAACACAGAAAATGTTTCGTTTGGCAAAAGAGTTTAGGGATAATTTTGATATACGAATATGGTGGGTACATAATGGAAATGTGTTTATATTTATATTTATTACGTAGTAATATAAAAATAAATTAACTTCCCTAAGTGTTAAGAAAAATAAAGTTACTAGGTTTCAGCCCGAAAAACGCCTCATAGCTAAAATCTTACACTACTGATATTTATTTCTCCGCATTACTTTCTGCGGAGAACCCCTGGAGACAAAGGAAAATCATGAAACATGAAAGATTACATCGTTTAACTCGTTAGCAAGCAGTAAACTCACGTCATAAAGTTTGAAATTGAAATTAAAACAGGAAAGTAATAAAGATAAAGCAAACTCTACGGTAGAAGAGTTGTAAGAAATTTTGAAAATGGTAAAAATTATCGCAAAATGGCGAAGATATTAACAGAAATGTCAGTACTGTTCAGTATGGTGTGAAACGATATGAAAGCGAAAATAAAATAAGTAATAATTCAAGAAAAGCTCTAAACAAGAAATTGAATGCGCACAATGAAAAGTGGATGGTGCGAAAAATTAAAGATAATCCGAGAATTAGTCTGCCTAAACTTATTAACGAGGTCGAAACGTATTTAGGAAAAAGTGTAAATCTGTAAACAATAATAAGAGTATTAATAAAACAAAATTTTCATTGTCGTATGGCTCGGAATAAATTCCCTGTAAGAGTAAAAAAATAGAAAAATATAATTATATTTTACAAGAGACTATTTGAACAAAGATTTCGATTTTTGGAAAGAGACTATTTTTACAGATGAAAATAAATTTAATATCTTTTATACAGATGGTAAAATTACGATATGGCAATGACCTAATGAAGAGTTCAAAATAAAAAATTTTAATTGTACCGTGAAATATGGAGATCAATTAATGATGGTTTGGGATTCTATATCTGCTGCTGAAATGGGTAGTTTAGCATTTATGGAAGGTAATATGAATAAATACGATTATACGAATATTTTGAAAAATAATTTAAAGAGCAGTGTTGAAAAATTAGGAATTTTAAACCGCTTTAAATTTTATAGTGACAACGATCCTAAACACACATTATAGTGCATATAGCTAGAATATGGCTTCTTTATAATTGTCCCAAAGTAATAAATACACCCCCGCAATTACCTAATTTGAACGTTATAGAACATATCTGGCACGAACTCGAAATTAGAATTCGGAAACATACCGTTAAAAATAAAAATGATTTGAAAATGAATTAATAGAGGAATGGAGTAAAATTAAAGCCAGTTTTACTGAAAAATTGGTAAGATCGATGAAAAATAAATTGCACGAGGTAAAACGTAATGGGGGGAATTCAACGAAATACTAAAATTTAATTCAAGCAACTTGATAAACAATTTTTTTTTTAATGTACGATTTTAACTGTGAGGTATTTTCCAGACAAAATACTAACAATTTCAATTTTCTGTGTACATAAAAAGGTTCATTTGGTTTTGTATTAAAACAAATCCTCTTTTTCCAAATCATGGCTAAACTTTTGTACGAGATGAAACATTTTCTGATACGTGATGTACGATTTTTACTGTAATTCACTGTACCTATAGTAAGTATAACCTATATGGAGCGTCAATAAAAGGATAATACTCAAAATTTTCAAATTCTCTTTGAAATAACTTAATAGATACGAAAGGAAACAGGAAAAAGGTACGTGATACTGAAAGCTCAATTTGTTTTCTATTCTATTTGTAATTTATTAATTTATTAATTATAGTGAACGTCAATATAAGGTTAATACTTAAAATTTTCAAATTCTCTTTGAAATAACTTAATAGATACGACAAGAAAGAGGCAGATGGTATGTGATATTGAAAGCTCAATTTGTTTTCTATTCTATTTATAATTTACTAATAATCTTTCTACTAATAAAGATATATGTATTATATTCAAATATTATGATATATAATATTATTTTAATATATAATTATATAAATACATCAATATTATAATATATAGAAATATTTATATTAAACGTTATAAGTTCGTTTACCGTTAACTTAATACTAATAAGAATACATGCTTTTCATTATCATACAGGACAAATTGAGCTTTCAATATCATACAGCTTTTCCTTGTTTTCTTTAATACCTTTTAAGTTATTTCGAAGAAAATTTGAAAATTTGAAGCGTTAACTTTATATTGACGCTCACTGTACACACGACGGTGAGCGACTGCTCGTCTCGCGATTTCGATTTATCGCCCTGTACGTTTCCCCGAATTTCGCTGCGGGACGTTTCGCGTTCGTCAAACCGCGCATACGGAATTCGAGTGAAATAAATGCACGCGCGACCTTAAGACTAATGAAACGCGATAAACTTGCCGCGAGCATGGCTGACGTGCGAACTTGTAAGGAAAGCTTTCTCGGTGAATGTACTTCCTGCTATGAAATTTATCATAATTTTATAAGCCACGCGAGTCGAGAAACTCACGGACATCTTGACACACTTTCCTAACGGGTATTCCGTGTAAGAAACTAATCATGCCTGACATTATCGGCCCCGGCTGAAACGTACGCCATCGAAACAGCGATACGTGTGGGGTTTTTGTGAAAGAGAAATGACGCATATCAAAGAGAGCAGAGAGAGAAGTAGACGAAGTGCTACGTGAAAGTACGCCGCGTGACCGTTGTGAAAATCTCGGTCGATACATACGCCTGAACGGCTGATTTTACGGTGAAAGCGATACATTGAAATATTCACCAACACCAGGCAATCGCTTTCGTTTCTCGCTTCAAATTTACCGCCGATCCAACGTTTCTTATTTGCCCTATATTTCACA